TTGCTAAATGGTGAATTCAAAATTACCTGACTGAATCTTAATAAATATAAATGCATCATCTTTTCTAGGTCAAAAGCTTCTTTTTCATTCAACTACATCTTAAAGTCAATTTTTTAAGAACATATTACAACAGTTAGTGATTTAGGTATAATATTCTGTTGAAAAATGTCACGCATAAATTACACTACAAACAAAGCTAACCAGATGTTGGGATTTGTTAGTCATGTTTGTATCAATTTAACTATAAATACATTAAAACTACTCTATTTAATGCTTGTAAGATAAATTTTGATGTTCTCTTCAACAGTCTGGTCACCAATCTTTCAAATATGTGCAGAAAACAAATTGGAAAATGTCCAGCACAAATCCTTCAGAATGGTAACTACTCATTTGGCATTGCAAGATCCAAATCATTGGCATTATAATGATATAGCAACAGCCCTTGTAATCCCAACACTTGAATATCAAAGGAAATTTAGTGATTTGATATTTTTGTATAAACTTTGTAACAGAATGTTTGACTGTGTGCTTTCATCGAATCAATTGAAGTCTGAAGTTCCAGTACAGTCAACCAGAAGATCATCTTTTCCTGCCAATGTACATGTTGACGTATATGACACAGTCCGTTTTTTAGGATGTGCTCATTGGCAAATGAACAATCTTACCAACATTAAATTTAGGTCACTCCAAGGTTGTGAGTGGTAATACATTGAAATATGAATGATGCTATATTCTCTTGCATGTTGAATTTTTTCTATTTATATATAATGTATTTGCACGTAAGTCTGTAAATTTACTAATAAATAAATGACATAATTTAAAGTTCTAGTTTTGAAGAATACATTCCATTAATGAAAACAATCTCTAGTTCCATAATGTAAATGTAGATAATTACTGAAAAAAATAGAACTTTTGCAATAAATGATATTTCAGAGGTTTGAATGCAAATCAGATTCATATTGTATAATCACATGTGTATTGTTCTTGAATCAAGCCAAAAAGTAAGAGGAAAGAAATAGAAACATGTTTGAAACAATTTTGCAAATATCCTAGGGGTATCATGTAGAGGACCTCCAAAAATTAAAAGATCCTTTCCAAATTTGTAGGGCCTGAAGTTAAGCCAGATTAATAAGGGAATATCCACTTTTGGGAAAATCACATGCACTGTCTATGTGCTAGGGTTGTTCATGAACAGATAGACCTTTTGAAAAATACTCTTTGATATCTAAGATTCCCAAAATGTTCATTTCCATCAAAACTTTACCTTTTTTCTTTTTTTTTTTTTTTTTTTTTTTTTTTTTTTTTTTTTTTTTTTTTTTTCTTCCTTTCAGTTTTACCTAACTTTATATTAAGTATATACAACTATTAGATAAAGTACAAATATGCTCAATAAAGAGAGATTGCATGCTCTTGGTAACATATCCATATTTCATATATTTTAATAATGAACACTATAAATAATTTCAGCTACTGATTTTTTTTCGGATTTAATAGCCTAAATGTTTATCAATTATCTGACAAGCCTTCAGAGACTACTGTAGTATATATTTGAAATAAATGCATTGTTCTTTGGATGGAGTAACAATTTGTTGTGATGTAAATGCTTTATGGTTTTAAATGTTTGTTTTCTAATTTGCACAGAATATAACTATATTCACATATATCCTAAAAAAATTTCACTCCAAAAGCTCAAGTTCATATTTTATTAAAAAAGATTTTGAATTTCTCATATAATTGAAGGATTTTGGCATAAGAGACAATTGGAAATTAATATCTGTGAATAAGACACCATGCACCTGCTAGGGAACTGATTTTTGGTGGGGAATTAAAAGCCATTTAAAAATCAGTTTTGAGGGAACACTTTTAGTACGTTCCACTGTATTCAGAAATTGCAGAGAAAATTGAGAAATAGGAAAGGAGGAAACACAAACAGCACGATAGAGAAAAATGTTTAGCATTAGGTTTTATTCTTACTAAGAATACATCTCCCGTGTAACTCGCAATTTCCTTCCTTAAATATTTTGTGGAAACATTTTGCACGTAATAAAAGTGTGCATGGTAACCCAGGGATCGTTTATACAGTTTGATTTTCTTTAGATATTTCTGTCATTGCATGTAAAGTAATGAGTTTCTTTGGCACTTTGGTTCAATGCATGGTTACATGACCATTGTAGGTGAAGTCGGTGGATTGCAAAGAAGAGAAAGATGACAAAACTGCTGGAACTGTGTCAGAAGCATGCTCTGGATCATCTGTGAGTCATTTGTTAACCTCTCTTATTGGCTTTACAGAAACAAGATTTGTGTATATTTTGTTGTAAACCTTGGGAAAAGTGGACTTGCTTAAGAACGCACAATAGTTTAGTTTTGGACACTATTTCCTTGGTCATCTGCTACTATTTTTGCTAGAAGTAGATGTTTTTCCAATGAAGTAGTACTGATTTGTCTGGACTTCACAATTCTCTATTAAGTATTCATCAAATAATTTGAAATAGTGCTTTGATCAATATGTTGAATTTCTATGCTTATTTCTGTAGTGAAGATTGCAATACTGATTTTCCTATTTCTTTCATCACAAAGTTTCTTCAAAAATGTTTCATGCTGATCGATTGCATTTTTGTGAGTGTTGGCATGTTAGGCATTCAAATATTATTCCACACACATCTATATGCAGATACAGGTCAGGTATTTACATGTTGTATAGAAAATAATCATTGTTTTGCTTGAATGTTTTGTCAAATTTAGAAATGAGGATATATTCTTTGAAAATTACTCAGCAATCACATAAATTGTTTGCATGCAATCCACAGTTGAAAATAGGGTAATGAAACATGTTTAGAAACTCAAATAATTCATTTTTGAGTACTCCACCAGAATTGCTGTTAACTTTGGGCACATTATGTCGGACAGTTTTCTGTTGATAGTGATAATTGTTAATTTTGAGACAACTTAGTAGTTTATTTCACTTTTAGTTGTTAATTTTTTCTTTCTTTTTTTCCCACTCTTTTAATTTAAATTGTATTCTCTGTTTGTCAGTATTTTATTTTATTTTTACCCTGAACGAATGATATACCACTTTTGCATTGTTTCATTTCTATAAAAATTATTTACCAATGTTTTTTGCCTTTTTGTTTTAATTTATGTTTATTCAAATCGTTCTCGTACACCTGACCATATGATTTGGCATGTCTACTTGTGCTCGACCATTTGTGCATTTTAACCTTCTTTGTTTTCTCATTTGCACAACTTTAATTGAGATTTCTTGTAGATTACCATGCATTCATCTCTTTTTGAATAAAAGATGAGACTAATAGGTATTGCCTATTTTCAGTGATCTCAATTTCTTTTAATTTTCAGAACAAAGTAAAATTCTTATATGTAGCAGATCTACAATAAGGATGTGGTGTTCCTGTGACTTATGATATTAAAACTGTGTTATTTAAAATGTAATGTAGACTTTGTTGGCATATTTATAGTCTACTTTCAAAGGGAAGTGATTATTGGCACACTGTTCAGGGTACCATGTATTTCCAACTATGTTATTGCATATACTAATTTGTGTTTAAACACGATTTACATTAACATTTGAAAAGTTCTCTGTTTTAGTTGAAAATGTTGCTCTCTTTCTTCCTCTCTTTTATTTCCAGGACCTATTAATCACGTTTGCATTTTCTTTTGTGATTTGGTAATACCTATTCTATTACTTGAGAGTGTTGATCAATTTTCATGACAAGGAATGGGCATTAGTATATTTGTGATGATAACAGAATTTCTTTGAGGAATTTGATTTGCTTATTATCTTCTAATTCGCGTTGATCAGTGATCAGAAGTGTAATTCTCTTTACATTCCTGAGAAATGTTCCTTCAACGTTAAATATAAACCATGTGTGCTTTCCTTTACTTCCTTGCCTCTCCTTTGATTCATACAATTGCACATTGGTGAACTACAACAAATTGAGAAATCTTGCACATACCTAGAAAGACCGTGTGTGAGCATTACAGACTATAGCTGCTTCTTAAAGTATGGGGAATTTATGTGGGTGTTTCCATATGCCTTCTGACAGGCACTGAAACTTCAAATGAACGGACGAGCGAGTGATATTTCTCTATATATTAAGATAACGTAAAAATAACAAGTTTGTTGTGAAAATGAAAGAGTGAGTGAGTGAGCGAGTGTGTTTGTGTTGCACACACGTGTTGAATGTTAATGATGTGTGCAGGATGCAAATGAAAGATAACACATAGTAGTTCCATTGTTATTCTTGATAGTATGAGCCAAGTTTTTGTTTTTCAGGCTTGGATGAAACTTTTCTTTTTCTGTTCTATTTCTCATTTGAAATGATTTAATAATCTCACACAAGTTTAGTGAAATTGTTAATGACTGAGATTTCACTTTGGAGAAATAAATTTTCATTTTATGCAAAGATTATTGATATCAGGTATTAATGTTGCTATTTGTCAGAAAAAATAGTTAATAATATTTTTTCCCCAAGGATCTTAGTAAACGTTTTTCTTGACAAAAATAATGTGAGGAAGTAAATTTCATATTGACAAATTTTGTAAAGTTCCCCTCGAATGAAGTATGATGATTTGAATAGATATAATCATAAATTAGTTTAAAATACACACAGGAAAAGAGTTGCATAGATTTCTATAACTACAAGTCTATATCTCTTTTGAAACTTATTAAGCATATTTATGTGAGGGTAATTAAGATATTTTTTTTTGCATTATCTGCTTAAAACTCCATGATTTCTCAGTTTAGAAATGGATAGTCGTATGAATTATCACACTGCAATTTATTTCTCCAAAATATTGTATTATGAGCATACAAGCTTTGACTACTCTCTTGTCTATGCTACTGTTTCAGCCAGTAATGCATTTTTATTTCTTTATTATTTGCTTTTTAAAATTTTTGCTTTGGTTTGTCACTTTTGTTTAAATTTTTTTCTAGTTATTTTGTTGTATTCAATTTCAAAATATGTTAATATTTCTTTTTCTAGACTCCTCCACCTGCTTCATCACTCGCCGAAGCTATGATTTTGGACACTCAGGCAGCAGTAATGGCAAGCTTTGATTTCCTAGCTCAGTCTGTAGCAGATATGGATGATGATGATGACATGAGTGATGACCTTGATGAAGCTCAAGATGATGAACAAGATGATGTTAAGACTGCAAAGAGGAAGGGAAAGGTGAGGAATTATGATAATTTTGTTGTTTTTTTTAAATTTAAAATATGCCATTGACATCAAGAACATTACAAATTTCATAAATGTTGGTTTTATTTTTTAATTGAGAATATTCATTGAAATCATGACTCAACTATTTATTAAGAAAATGTCTACATCTATTGGAAAAGGTTGTGTGTTTCCGAGACTGAGTCTCTAATGGCAGAGATAGTAATACATATGCCCAGTATTACCATGATAGTCAAGTTCCTGACCAGCATACATTCGTGATATTTTCAATTTATGCAATTTTTTCAATACCAGCATGAGTATCAATACTCATGAATTGATAATACTATTTTGTTAATATAAAAGCTGCAATATCAATAACCAAACACTAGATATCTAGCATGAAAGGTGAAAACCCAAAGTCTGGACAACTCAAATTCACAGAAATACGGTTATAAATAATTTAATAAAATCAGGTAATGTTTAGTCAATTAAGTGCAAATACAACCTCCAATAGATTACTTCGTATGTAAATGTTTTGTTTTTTTAATGTTCATATGTAAGTTTAATCTTTGACCTGATCATCGAATTGATGTACAGACAGAAATTGGAAGAAACTGAAATTCATAGGTCTTGAGGCATTTTTGATAAATCAGAGAAATTCTGACTTGAGTGTAATTACTCTTATTCTTTTAATACTAGAATGCCTGAAGCCTGACTTGATTTTGATGGCTATGATGCATTGAAGTATTGTTTTCTTTTGAACAGTGAGCAATTGGGCACTGGGATCTCATCACTTTTAATGTATTTATGATGTGGATAATAAGTAAAATTTTCGAGAATTTTAATTGAACCTAAGTAGTTTTATTGCATACTCTATTTTAAACATTTGAAAACTGTCAAATTGATGGCTGGCTTAACTGCTGTGTTATGCTCTTCTAGGCCAGTCTTCTTTTAATTATCTTATTGATTTCCAAGAAATTACACAAGCTGTATTTGATGAAAAACATTTGGGTTTGACTTTTCTAAAGAGTTGATATTTGTATCCAAAGCATTATCGTTATAGTTATTTAGAATTGAAATACAACAGGCCTATCCTGTCTTGTAGTTTCTAAATGCAGAGAGTCAGATCTTTTCATTATTTCAATGATGTGTTCTATACCATATTTCAGAACTGGATGGCTTACAAGGTGAGGAATTTCTTGGTTGATTTCACATCAATGAGCATTCAAAAGAAAAATATTGCTTTGTGTTAGAAAATAGCTCCTCCTCCTCCTCCCCATCCCCCTCCCCTCCCCCAAGATGCTTCTCAATGTGCTAGGAAATTCTATCATTGACATTGTACACTTAGAAAAACTTTCTGAAACCATTGAATATTACAATAGAGCATTGTGTGAATAACCTTGATCAGATGATTTGACAAAATAGTGTGAAGTATGGTTGTAAGAGAAGACCAATGTGATTTGTTTTCAAAACTATTTGGTTTTGTGTATAATAATTGTTATGTCATTCTGGAAGTCACTTAACAAAAGATTATGGAAAAAAGTATTTTTGAATGAGCAGAGGAATTGCCAATATATATCATATGCATAATATTGGAAAAGGCTACCAGAAAAAAACCAAGCCAGTTTTAAGTATGAAGGGCTGGAAAGGAAGGTGTGGATGCCTTGACAAAAATCAATAAAAAACAAGTGTACGAATAATGCTATGAATACGTGGCCTTGACAGTGAATGCCTTCTATACATGCATAAATTTTGCTCTTCAAATTTGTGTAGTTATTTTAGTTCAACGTACAATAGGCTCTTAATTTTTGCAAGTAGTGAATCAGTTAAGAAAATGTTAATTTAAGTTTATATCCTTTTTTTCCTTGCAATTTGAGTGTGTGGGTGTGGGGGTGTATAATATTCACACACACTCACTCAAATTGGATGAATTTTTTGAACTTTTGAATATTTTTTGAATCAATTCCCGGCCAAATTGAGCCAATAAGCATACTTGCTAAATTTTGAAATTTAGCAAGTAATGGATGATAACAGTATGTTTTTCAGATTGTCAAAGTTTATCATGCAGAGAGCATAGCTTTATCTACAAAGCAATGAAAAAACAATAGAACTAATACAGTAAAGATCTCAATTTTATTTTTATTAAGTTAACCCACCTTGGCAAATTACTACTTCTAGGCAATTCTTTATTACAAAACATACAAGTTCATAATGTGTAGATAAATGTACAAAAGCAAATTTTCAATTTCCTGTCTCATTTTGAATGAAGGTTGATATGTTATTTTATGAATAGAAAATGGGATGATGTATTTCTTAGAAAGGTCATAAGTTTGTAGAGAAAAACATTCATATTGGTGTTTGCTTTTCACAGGGATTAATGTTGACTGAAGGAATGACTACAGACGATGTGGATCGAGAGGCAGAAGAAGTTCTTAACGAGTTAAATCTTCTCTCAGAAACTGAAGATTCTGGTGCAGATATACATTCGCAGAGTGATCCATCTGATTGGAGTGCGTATGAAATGTACAGTATTTTCGATTAGTTAAATGCAATGCAAGTTTACATTCTTTCTGAAAATATAGTAATTTTCAAATGTCAATCTTTGAAAATGAATTAAACCACACGTTGCCAAAAGTTAAAGCAGTTCTGAATGGAATGCTTTTGAATAAAGTAGAGATCAGTTGAACATATAATTTGTTTTATTATTATGATTATTCCCTGAAATGCTGCATACATATTTTAATACTGAAAACTGCAGTTTAATTTTGATGTCGCCCTGTTTTATTTAATTGATAGGCTTTGAGCGGTATCAAGACGTGCCTCAGTTAGCCATTAGCTGTTAATAAATATTAATATCTTGATTTTCATTGAAGAATGTATTTTCCTATTACATTAATTAAGTCCTTCATAAAAGGCCACACCTTCACCAAAATTATTTATGAATGTCAGAAGGCTTACTGTGGTAGATGCCTTTTCTTGTTACTGCTCCAAGCTCTTCAATTGTACCTTCTTGATGATACTAATACTTCTGTATATTGTAAGAAACCGAGAATGGATGGTGACCACAAAAGGAATTAATTCTATCCCGAAGGTGGTTAAGACTGATATTCTTAAAGGTATTAAGCAACAAAAGTATTTTCCACTTATAGAAACATGCTTCTGAGGAATCATAGAAGAAAATTATCGTGTTTTTTTTTTTTTTTTTTTTTTTTTTTTTTTTTTTTTTTTTTTTTTTTTTTTTTTTTTTTTTTTTTAATATCTGGTGGACAAAGTAATTTGTATACTTCAACACTTTCTTTGAATACCAAGATTTTGGTTGAGAAGGGGAGAAGTTACATTGTTTTAAACAAAATAGGCCTATAATTTGAATTTATGACTTTGAATGGGCAAATTCATGTAATAATTTCGTTTTCTACAAGTTCTTGATTTTTCCCAGATTTTCTACTGAAATGTGTAAATTGAACTACAAACCATACTTCAAAATAATTCGCTTGTAGTGGCAGGGATTTCATTGTATACTTAGTATTTAAAAAAGTAGACAGAACTGGAAGATGACTTTTTACATTGTAGATTTGTTTTAATGAACTATGATTTATACATTGCTTAAACAGGAGAATTGGCAAACTTACAAACCTTAGTCAGTCCAATAGCAGATCTTTGCATGTTTTTTAGGAGTTCAGGATGGTAATTTCAACTCAGCAAAACCATGTATGAAGCACGATTCATTAAAATCGAGCAACAAATTCTTAACAAGAGATCTGATACTCCTCTTGGTGAATGAAAATAAAATGTAAAGGTCGTCACTCCAATGTTACCGTTGGTAATTGATTTCCATCAGATTTCCAGCAAAGTTGAAATTTGATAGATGAATAGTCTCTAGGCCCTGAATAAAACACTCAAAACAATATATATTCCAAATGAATTGCTTAGATAATCACTCTTCAGTGGATGATCTTGTAACTTTATAGATTATTTTTTCCTTTCAGTGCAGTATAATTATTTTGCATTGAGGTTTATAACTTTCAATCCAAGACAGATTTATTTTGACAATTATTCATATTCTCTGTCTTATTATACAAGATATGTCAATGGATTGTCATTACTTTCCACACCAGTTGCATGGTGTCTTACACTGGACTCAAACCAGCAAAGGGACAGTGCCCCAATCAGTTGAGATACTGGGGTGGTCATTCAATGCACAAAGGTATTAAGATATAGATTTTTAGTGACAGCAAATGGGTTGAATTGATGAAATACATTTTTTTGCTGGCATTAAAATCAATCAAATCATATTCATAGAAAAGGTAACTGCAGAGCTGGTTTTTCTTACAACCAAAATAAGAAGATGCTTAAGGCCATGGGGGCCTCATGCCAGGATATTTTTATAAATGTTGTTTTTAAATCTTAAAATATGTTTTTATCTGAAAATAATTGTGAATCAACTGAATAATCTACTGTACTAAAAAGTATGTATTTAAAAATTTAAAATTAAATGATGGAAGTGATGAAAAATGTGTAGATATGAAATTAAAAACGTATTTAAATAAAAAAGGAGGTTCAGTGCTGTAAGCAATTTGCTAATTTTCAAGCTATTTGTTAAAACTGCAGTTGACTTCAATTTGATCCCAAATTGCTGTACATTGATACAGTTAATACATGAATCATCCTTAATAAGAGGAGTTGTGATTATTATTATTATTATTATTATTATTATTATTATTATTATTATTATTATTATTTCTTTTCTTTTTTTCTTCTACATCACTACTAAAGATGATCAGCTGAAGAGTCGGCTGAATATAGAATCTACTCCAGGTAGTAACCAGCTACCTGAAGAACAGATACAGGAACCGTTGGTGCCTCTTCAATACTTCACATAAAATGTGGGCTGTTCCAAATAGAGCAATTTCTTGCCCTTAGTTGTTGTTGTTGTTATTATTATTATTATTATTATTATTATTATTATTATTATTTGATCATCTTACACTATTTCAATAAAAAAATTCAATCAAGTGCCCATATTTGGAACAATATGGGACCTTGCTGTAGTGTGTTTGAAGCCTGAAACTGTCATGAAATATTAACATATCAATCAAACATGATAACATGCTCTATACATCAACTACAACAATCAATAGGGCTATGTTTACACTAAAAGAAATAATCTTGAATCACCCCTAGAGTGGGCTCTTGACTCTGAGAACTTTCCCCACTTTTTCTCACTAATAGCATTTATTTATGTTACTTGATATTTGAAGAAATATGAAAAACAATTTTTCTGCATGGTAGGAGGAAAGGAGGTAAAGGCAATTAATATTTCATTTTAAAATCATTCTTTCTAATTTTTTAAGTTCTTATGCTCAAGAACCATTTTATATCTTAAATGGCTAGTCTCCGCTGAAATTTTAAGAAATCATGTTAGGAAATAACAAGTAATTTCACTTGAAAAATTCACAAAAAGGGTCTGGAATTCTCAATCTATATATTTGTTAATTACATTGAAGTACGTGAGCTATCTGTATCCAAAGATCCAAAATGATCTCTTTATAAAATAATTTATATATCAAAGGGATCGGGGATTTTGTACTAATGCAAATGCAATATTTTGGCATCTTTTAGGTGGTACAGGAATGGGATTTCAACCTGGGACTGGACATCGACGACAATTGGGCTCTGCTTTAGCTGATGAGGAAGTTCTTGATTCAACACTAGGTCTAGGAGAACTTGCACAACTGACAGTAAACAATGAGGCAGAGGCGGCTTATGATGTAAGTATTGAATTCTTGTTTAAGATTGAGATATATTTACACTCTGTGAATACCAGTGCTTTTTAATTTGAAATTGGGAATTTAAAGATAGTTATTAAGATTTTTTTTCTTCCTTCTTTTTATGAATGTTTATAGTGTTATAAATTAAACCAAACAATTCCTCTTCTAATTTCTGTCATTCAGATTTATTTATTTCCTACTCATAAATTTTTCTACATTGTAGTTTTTGTAACGTTTTGGCTACATCTTACAGCAATCTGCATGTTCATGACAGAAGCTTGGAGTGCTTTTTAAGAATTCACATCTTTAATGACATTCTATTATAAATAGTTAAATTATAATTATAATATACTGTAGTTAAAACAGCACTGAAGAAAATGAAGACTTATTACGGCAACATCCACAGGTCAGATAAATTTATGTACCTTTAAGAATAGATTGAATAAAATGTTACAGAGAAAGAAGCTATTGATGCAAGGTTAACAAAATAAAAATGGCATACCATTTGACATGAGATGTATACAAAAAAATCAATATCCATCAGAGCTAAATTACAACACTACTTGACCATAATTTGAACAGAAGCACTTTATGCAATAATGTCTGACTATGAATAAGAAAATGATGATGGAAGAATTGGAAATAATGGAGAGGAAAATTCTAAGGAAAATCTTGGGACTGGTCAAGGAAGGCAATGAATATAGGAGGTGTCACAATAATGAACTGTACAGAAACATTGAGAAAATTAGAGAGACACAATCAGGAAAAGAAGAATCTCTTTGCAAAGGATGGAATTCAATAGATTCACACGAAGATTGTTTGACTACATTAGAAAATTAAAAATGGATAATACTTGGGTCAAAGAAACAGAAAAAGATGTACTAGAACTAAATATAACACCACACAATATTCAGAACCTTTCACTCCTGAGACACATATTAGTCATGTCAAAAGGTTTTCTAGAGAAACCTAAAAGAGACCAGAGCCACCTGGACAGAGGAGAGAAAAGAAATATATCGGAAGAGGATGAAAGAATTTTGAAGGAAGACGAAATTGGAAGGAAGGAAGAACCAGTTGAAATAAACATGGTCCACAGTGGCCTATTCAAAGATAAATAATACAGTAGTTCGATGTAGTTAGAGCATCAGATGAAAGCATTTAATGGAAAAAGAAGTTTCTTAAAAGTACAGTGAAGCAGAGTTGGGTATAGAAGTACTTAATATAAATATATATATATATATATATATATATATATATATATATATATGTATATATATATATATGTATATATATATATATGTATATATATATGTATATATATATGTATATATGTATATATATATATAATATGTATATGTATATGTATGTATTTAATTTTTTTTTGTTTTGTTTTCTTCTTTTCAGATTACTGCTACAAAAGAATCGTATAGGAAAACCTGGAATGCAAAATATACTCTTCGTAGTCACTTTGATGGTGTTCGAGCTTTGGCATTCCATCCACAAGAGCCAGTTCTCATTACAGCTAGTGAAGACCACACGTTAAAATTATGGAATTTGCAAAAGACTGTTCCAGCAAAAAAGTGAGTTTGTTTGTAATTCATTGATGGATGCTATTTGAAAATTTGACTTGGAGACTAACAAATTAGTTTATTGATAAAGATATCATAAGCTTTTTTTAATATTATGGAGGAGGTAAGATTGTGAATGCCCAGTTGTCTTGTCTATTCTGTGTTGTTCCTATATAGTGAATGTTCTCTTTTGTTTGTGATCTCATCTTCTCAAGTGACACTGCTCTCTTAACATTTCTGGAATTTCTACTCCATATTAAGTGCATCTGTTTTCAGGTCAACATCTTTGGATGTAGAGCCTCTGTATACTTTTCGACGACATACTGGGCCTGTGTTATGCTTGGCTATGAGCGCTACTGGAGAAGAATGTTACAGTGGTGGAGTTGATGGAGCTATTTACTGTTGGAAGTTACCATGTGCGAATATTGACCCCTACGATTCATTTGGTAAGCAAGATTTATTTTATCCTGTGTTTTAGTCTTGAATGTGTCAGAGTGGTTGTTCCTTGCATTTGAAATTACAATTTAATCTCAATCCTGACAGGAGTTGTTTCATTACATTAATTTTTCTTAATTATTTTTTGTGATTTGTATAATTTTTTACAATCATCAATTTTTTATTAAGTTTTTACAATCTAAAGTGCCAGTGATGGGATGCTGTTTCATTCCTGGCGGTGCCAGACATATCCTTGACATGTTGAATATCAGTGAGGTTTTCTGGTTCTTGGGTTCAGTCCCTGCTGGGATTGAGATCATAGGTCTACTGCTGTGATTGATTTCTGTGGTTTCCCTGATCACTTCCAGGCAAATGCCAGAGCAAAACACCCTATACAATGGCCCATGGACCCTGCAGGATCCTTCCTTTCCCACTATATGACTTATGGAGTGGTAACCGAAAGATAATGGGTGTTTTATTATTATTATTATTATTATTATTATTATTATTATTATTATTATTATTATTATTACTTCTATTGCTGTTGTTTTCAAAAGTGTTTCTGTGCTTCCTATGTAGACAACACTAGTGCCTAAACTGTACAATTTTCATCAGAAAGGATATTCCCTGAATGATAGGACTTATGTCGTGATCCTTTGAATTTAAAACAGATCTCTTTAATTTTTGGGGTACTTTACATTAAGTCTGTAGAACATTTTGGAAAATTTTTAAAGATATGATTAAAAACCTTTTCTTTGTATGTTTTTCTTATCTTTTGCTAGAGGAGAGCAAAGTTCACTCATAGAAATGATACACTTTCAATAAAAACTGAAATTTCAAAAATTACAAAAATTAAAAATTGTATGAACGTCCTCGTACAAAATTATTGAAAAAAGAGATTTTTTTCTTAATGAAATTTGTTTTTCAAAATTGGATTTTTAAATATGAATAATATATTGAAAATATGTATAGTTTTTAGTAAATAATGCCATTAAATAATACAACAAATTTTCTCATAAACGGCACCAAATTTTTTGTTCAAATTATGTGCTTAAATACAACAGAGTTGATTTAATAAGAAGGCATAGATTCGATTTTCATTAAAACCTCTAAAATTTCAAAAATTGTAAGTTCAAATTTTTTTCAAACCTTTTCTACACTTTCAATTTACTGAAACTACATATTTCTTTTTTGAGACTATCTGTTACTTTATATTAGATATTTAAATTATTTCACCAACACTATTTTGAAAGTATTAGAAGTTTTGCGTAATTTTGTGTTGTAATGTGTAATAGTTTAATTAACATGTAGAGTAGTGTGTGTTAATGTGAGTCACCACAACTTTAAGAATTCATTATCGCCCAATAAGTAGAGACTTTCCTATTGTCAGATTTTTGTTATGGCTAGCGCGTGAGCTTATCATTCACAGCGGTCATGTTCAAACCCCTATCTAAAGGCAGCTCCACACAGTATTTGGCGAGTAGCGACCACTTTCTGAATCCTGAGTAGTGTGGATGAGTTACTTGCTGTTTGTTGAGCAATGAAATTAGGTGCTCACCCATGTCAGTCTTTTGCTTACATCAAAGGAAGTGAACATTCGCCGAGCACATCACCTACATGCTATTGGGCAAGCAGTCGCTCGCTACTTGCTGAATACCAATGTGTGGAGCCGCTTTAAGGTGATTCCCTTTTCTTCTTCTTTCTTCCTTTTCTTTTCTGTAAACTTTTTCAAAGAAATAAGCACAAAACACTGAATTTAATGGCAAAAGGACATTTCATTTAAACTTTTAAATTTTCAAAAAATTAAATACGTTGATTTTTTCTCAAGCCTCTCATGCTTTTTGGTTAGAACTTGTTTGAAACGATGGCTGAAGTGTTTGTAGGATTGAAGTTGAAATAATATAATACAGTAGGATCTTACTAGTCCAGCTCTAAGTAAGGATTGATTTATTGGATTACTGAAATCGTTAGATTAGAAGAAGTAAGCTGATAAAAGAAAAATTGATTGCAAAAAAATTTCATTTTTGAGATTTTTGACTCTAAGAACAACTCAATATAGTCCTTTTTCTGTTTTATATCATGAATTGTGTCACAGCCAATATTGTACTCCTGGACAAATGAGCTATCTTCTCACCTTGCTCTTCACATTTCATCATTTCATTCTTTTTATCCAACATTAATGCGATGTGTTCCCATTTTCACAACATCACTTTAGACTTGTACTCTAAACTACAAACTGTGATTACCAATGACAGTTTGATTGCATCTCGCGTGATATACAGATTTTGACATGATTATTACACATGCTCTTACAGACATGCAGAGGCACACAAAAATGGCAATATTGCCCTGAGTGTCGAATTACTGGATGCGCCACACTGGCGCATGGCTGGATTATAGAGACTACTGTATTATATGACCATTACCAATAATAATAATAATGAGAAAGCATGTTATGGTGAAATGTTTCATTTTATTATGAAAAAAATGATGTGAAATGAAAATGATATACAAATTTCAGAGTACACTTGTTTGCAAGATATGGTGATTGTAACCTCTTTTTTTTTTTTTTTTTCTCGCAATGTTGCTTTTATGCTCTATTGCAATGTTTATATATTTCAAGCTGGAAAAATAAACAAAAAAAATAAATTTTATTTCAGATCCTGGTGTGGTGACTGGAAGTTTAGAAGGGCATACAGATGCTGTATGGGGTCTCAGTATACATAGTCAGCGACTCCAGTTGTTGTCATGTTCATCTGATGGCACTGTGAAATTGTGGTCTCCTTCCAGCAAAGCACCCCTTGTATCCAGTTATTCATCTGAACAAGGTATTTTTATTTATTTATTTACTTTTTCAATATGATTATGACTTCAGTGGGAAATAACTTGCAATATTGCAATCTTTAAAAAAAGATATGTGGCATTTTATTTATTCAGCATACGTTTTTAGATATTATTTTGTAGTATTGGATGATGTAATATTTGAAAGATGGTGTTTTCAAACTTCAGATGGAGCGCCTACTTCTGTTGACTTTGTGAGAGACGAGAATACTCGCATGGTAGCAGCATTCAGTTCAGCTCATTGCATTGTATATGATTTAGAGACAGGGAAACAAGTTGTTCGACTAGAAACTGGCCAGGTATTTGTGATGAAGTGAACTTGAACAATTCCATTAATGTGTGTATTTCATTCATAATATCATTTTTTCCTTTAGGATGTGGACAATAATATAGTGGGAAGACAAATTAATCGTGTTGTTGCACATCCTACATTACCGCTTACCATCACTGCTCATGAAGATCGGCACATACGTTTTTTCGACAACACAACTGGAAAACTTGTTCACGCCATGGTGGCACATTTGGATTCTGTCACAAGTTTGGCAGTAGATCCAAATGGGTTGTACCTGCTCTCGGGGAGTAAGTTTGTTTTTGTACATCTATTCTTAATTATTTGAAAAGTTTACTTTGGACAGGTGGTTACTGAAATCTCCAATAATGTTCCTTTCACTCCGCTTGTGCCTAGTCTGTAATTCTTTTCATGCTGCTTTTCTCTTCTCTAATTCCCTCTTTATTTTATTTGCTTCTTCGTTTCGTTTTCTCTCAAAAGAGCTTATTACAAAATGTTAGTTGAAACAGAATTGTAATATATTTTATTATGTATAGGTCATGACTGCAGTATTCGTGTCTGGAACTTGGACAACAAAACTTGTGTTCAAGAAATAACAGCGCATCGTAAAAAGTTTGATGAAAGCATCTTTGATGTTGCCTTTCATGCATCACGACCATTTATAGCAAGTGCTGGGGCTGATGCTTTAGCAAAAGTGTTTGTGTGAAACCATGCAAATACATTAGATAATAAAAACTATGACCAGTATGATGTGATGAGGATTGGGGAGGGATCTTCACTTTGAATGAGTGAAAGTAAGGGGCAAAAAGAAGATTTCTGTTCACAAGTATTGTAGGTAAGTTACAAAGAGAGTTTGTGAATATTAAATTATTATGTGAAGCCTCACCATGTCCCTGCATCCAGCACTCCGTTTCAGAAGTTTGTCTCCATAACAGTTTCAAAGACTACTGAGTGTGATACAGGTTACTTCCTTGACTTGTCCGTCAGGTTAGAGGATTATCCACAAATACCTGGAAAGAGATGCCTGTTTTGCAGTGGTATTTTGTGCTTCCTCGTAGAGCTGTACAATGCTTTAAAGTTCTGGTACAAATATCAGAGCGACCTCCTTGTCAGAGCAACTTAGATTATAATCTTATATAGGCTATTGTGCTCATACATTAACATACAGGACTTGAAAATTTTGGAGAAACTGCCAGTCGTGTGGGAAAGTACTGAATGCAGGTTAGATTACAGTCTGCTATTTACAAATAAATCCAATAACAGTATACTTTCAGTGGCATTTTCTCTTATTCCATATACAGACTATTGGTGAGCTAGCAATTGTGGGACTTGTTGGGTTTGGCAGAAGTCAGTAGGAAGCATGTTTCATAGCCAAACAATTTCTTTTTAAGCAAAAGAACAGTGTTGGGCCATTTGAATTTTCTAATCAATCAAAACAGGGAGTTTTGGTAACAGCTTTAGAGTGTGAATGGACTTCTCAAAGCTCCTAGATTAGTATGAGATTGTTTAAAGTTTGTATTTTATAATTTGTATTGTAAAAACTTTTGCGTGTGTTTTATTTTAATCATTGTAATATATGACCTCTACATGTATTTTTATTTCTATCTCTCTCTATATATATATAAAGTATTTTGTGTGTTAGTTTTGATTTTGAATTTGACAATGTTGAAATGAGAGAAGCGAAATAGTTTGTGTGGATCTGATATTTATGACTATAGGGTGTTTTTTTGTTCTTTATAAATCAGTGTAATGTATAAATGTGCATGTTTCTTTTTTTTTTTCAGTAGTAATATACATGACTTTACCTAAGTTCATAATTTCAATCAAGACTTAACAGTTCATGCTGCTACAGTTGGAGATACTCAGAAAGTCTTATTCAGCAATCACATCTAGAGGTTCTATTTTTATTTGTTCTTAAAATATTATTGCCTGAAAAGGCTATCACACAAGACCCAGTGTAATATTTATAGGACTATTTAAGTTTGTTTTCCGAATCATTGTTATAAATAATAATAATTTGCATGTCTGCTTAATTCTGTTGGAAAGTGGCATTCAAGTCATTCGAAGAATTATTGGAACAAGTAAAAATTTGTGTAGCTCATTTTATTCATGATATCAGAGAACAAATTTATTCTTTCTCTTCTTTTTGTTTCCTCAGTTTTCCTTTCTTTGATTACTTTGTATCCTTTAGTTTTCCTTTTAGTGCCTATAGTAATAGTGTTCAAGAAACAGGTTGAAATGGCAACACATTGTTCTTGCAAACTGTATGTGTGGTTCTCTCGCCTTTAAAAATATCATGAATCTTGCAATATACCTCCATTGACATAAAGGATGTTTTGAAAATCTATCAAATGGTAAATAAAATTTTGAAACTGGTGTATGGGAGTGTATGTTGTTTTTGTTTTTATTTGTTTTTTAAAATATTTTTTAATATTATAGTGGTTGGTTCTTGCATGTAAATACATTATGTTAATAATATTACTTGGCCTTTAATGTAGGCCTTCTAGCCATAATATGTGGTAGGCCAATTAGCAAATGAAGTGTTTAAATAGTTCAAATTAATGAGTGAGCCCAGTGCCAGGTATTATGCAAATAATCAGATAAATAGTTTCTTCACCTGGAAACAACTTACCATTTTTCAACAACAGAAGTATTGTGTGATGTTGGAGCCATTTTTACATTTTTCAAATTGTGTATATCACTTGTTATCACAACATTGAACAAGGACTTGAGAATCTTTTTTTTGTTTTTATCTCATATTCCATCAGGTCAGAGTATTGTTACTGTTGGTCTTTATTTGCATTTAAAATTAAATACTGAATCCAACATTAATGACCAGTGCTACAGTCATTATTTGTTATGTAAAGAAACAATAGACATTAGAGATAATCTAAATGTAAAATAAATATGTAACAAATGCAATATGATGTTATGAAATTTTATCATTGTATGCTTGATAGAACATTTTCGTTATGGTGTTATTGGTTTGTGTGTGATTCAGTGTGTGCTTATGTAATAGTAAGAAAACATGTAATGTTCACTTACAGTGAAAGAGTATTAGTAGATTTGAATTCCCAGCAAAGTAAGTTTTGTTGCCATGCCACAACACCAAATATGTGGGAGTTCGAGATGCTGAGGTATGAGGTGCCTTATATCTCCAAGGCTAGAGTGTGTGTGGGGGTCATTTGTATTTCATTTACACATCAGAAAACATTCTCATATTATGCACTTGCAACTTCCTTCTACCACATCATATTGACTGAAATTTAAAGTTTTTAGTTTTCCTTTGATCATGTACATTTTAATTTATTTCCATTCTAATATAAAGTGGATTGAGTTTTCATGAAGTGAGACTGGGACTATTAACTTCTCTTTATTCTTATCATTATTGTGGCTACTATTGTTGTTGTCATCACAATCATTGCCATCTCTGCTCTCATGAGTGAAGATCTGTACATGTATAATCATTGAAACTGGCGCATTACTCGTGTTTATTGACTTTGATGAAATGACCGCTTAGAAATTATAATTCCTGCAATAAGTTGTTAGAATTGCACTTATGAAAAGTGGCGAAAAAAGACACAATTGTGGAAAAGGAAATTATGCTTCTCAGGGACCACATGTTTATCACCTAAATGATGTATGTTTAAATATTGCATTTCATATCTTGAATTTTATATTACTAGCTATTCTCTTTCGGGGAGGCAGTTATTAGCTCTAGTTGCCTAAGTGAATGGATCTAAAGACTTGGGGGCTGAAAGAATCTGTGAGAAAAACTGAAGATAATACAGTTACCATGAAAAGATAAAAGAATAAAAAAAAATATGTTTATCCATCTTGAATGACTGTGTTAACCATTGTTCTGTTGTTATGAAATTCAGCTGTGTCTTGTATTTGCAACTTCTCTTATGATTTTTATTGAAGTGCTGGGAGCAACTCTTAATATTAAATTTACTTCAGAATATTGTATATGTATCCCATTATATTTCACAAAACAAAATTAAATTACTACACATGATGTAGAGGAAATTAATAATAATCAACAGAATAAGACAATAAGTAATACAGACATCGATTGAAATATACTTATTTAGGAGAACTTGTAAATTCTGTATCATGTTCTTTTCATGTAAAAATTGCGAAGAACAGTAATGTAATTTAACTAACTTAGTAGCAGACTTCAGAGGTCATAAGAAAAATTACATCAAATTATCCTTGACAAATCCAATTAACTGTCAATATTATTTTATAGTTTAATAAATAATGTGCCATAAGCACACATTGTCATCTCAATAGTTCCAAACATTGCTTAAGAAAGGTGTCGAGTGTCTCGATAGAAAAGTGAATTCTTATGTTCTTAATATGCTTTGACATTGTAGCGTTTTTAAAAGAAATTCAGTGTGCTCCCAGTTTTTGAGCTCCATCTGAAACTACTTATTTCCTTCTTACCACCATCTGTGCATCCTATTTACAAATCTTTTTGCTTCTCTTTTCTTTCATTTTGGCACTCAGCACCTTCCATGTTCAGTCATTATTTGCATTCACTTAACTGGTAAAAATAAATGAATTTCAGCATTAAAAGATTTTTACAGTCAATAGTAAACATTGCATGAGGCTTCAAGAAATATTTTTGTATGTGTACTTGTAACTGTGAGTTGGTTGTCATTGCAATTATTCATTTTCCTCGCTTTCACATTCATAGCTTTCAACTTTTTGGTTTAATTGGCCATTGATCTTCCTTTGTGTATTATTATTATTATCATCATTATTATTATTATTATGCATCTCAAATCTGTCTCTTTCAGTCTGTATTGCACTACCAAAATGACAGTCAATTTCACTTACTTACTATGTTAAAAATAGAATATGTGATGTGGACATGGCATACATAAACTGATATTTATTTTCATTATATTAATGAAACTGCATGATCCATGTGTAATTTTGTGGACTCACATTCTGTTTGTCTTTTGTCATCTGAACTAGAATTGAATCAAATCTAGATAAAAAATAGCATTGTTTTTGGAAATGGAATAGCATTTCTGTATCGTGACATACAGATATATTCTGCTTTGTTTTGAAATGTAACATTGAACTGCTGGCTTCCAGTGGTAATAATTTTGAAATGAAAATTCTCTTTATTTAAATTTAGATTTGTTTCAATTCTTCATTTCCCATAATCTTATTTTTAGTGAATAGTTTTAATTTATAGTGCTTGAATGCCTGGGTATGGAAATGAAGCAATCGAAGATTAGCAGAGCTGTGTGTTATCAAGCAATCATTAAACTACTTGAAACAAAATTAACTCCTAAATCACATGATTCATTTATCTGCTAGTCAATTCATTTTGTCAAATATTATACATTATGTACTGTGCACGTGCAGTTTTTCCAGGATTATTAATGCTTGTGAAAATTCACAGTCCAGTAAAAATGTTAAGAAGGGCAGTGTGAGATGATGTATATTTCAAATAGTGGCTAAATAAATTTAGAGTACAAGAATGTTTATTTCATCTTATTTAATACTGAAAAAGAAGATACAAGACATTATACAATTGTATGACATAATGTGATTATTGGAGCATCTGATTTGGTAATTCTTTTTAATGTCAATATTTTGGACATGGACAACCTGTTTGTGTGTATTCCCAATACTTACTTGGAACACTTGGATTATTTTTCTTATTACTTTAGTATAAGCTCTCTCATTTACTATTATTATTGTAATTATTTTATTTATTACTAGGATTATATTTCTTTGAAAGTTCATAACTTTATTGTTGAGAATTGATAAATATTGATTGTAATTTGTATATTAATAATTGAATTCTTCCTTTTTCCTCAGTGCACAATTCTTACACTCAGTATTTTAGTATTTATTTTTATTTCAGATTCAAATATTATGAAAATTTATTTTCTTTTGAGTTTTTTATCACTACATATTTTAGAAATCCTATATTGTATTATAAATGTATTTTTCATAAATATTTTTAATTCATTTCTTTTTTAAATGTTTAATTCTTCAGTTACATTGTAAGTAGAGAAACTGCACGTGCACACATACATTTAAAAAGTGCATTCTGATGCATGCACACATTAACCAATTAGTTATCCAAAAGTTAATAGCAATAGAGAAGAAAATTGGTATTACGAGGAAACATGACAGTTCATTTCATGGTTTGTACATTACATAAAATTGCTCAGGCATATGTCGGATTAGTTGGCTTTTGCGTGAATAGTAAACTGAATACAATTGAAGTTCTTAAGTCCTAATGATAAAACAACTTAACAGTTGCACTGAACTTTCTTTTCAAGTTTTTGTTATGTTTCCTTATCATGAATTTATATTTCCTCTCTAAAAATGTGAGATATCTGTAAAGTATTACCAATATTACCAATAACATTGAAATTGACATATTTCATTTCTTTTTTCAGCAACTTCTTTACACACACCTTGAGTATCTGAATACTTTATAACTTGTTAGTTTGAAGTAGAGTTGACAAAACTTATTCTTGTATAATTTCCATTTATAATCAATATTTTTCTTGTTGAACAACTTGATTAGTCAAGATTAAAATATCTGATGAATTTGCTTTTCTTGGAGCTTCTTTTGGTGAAAATTGTTCAAGGCCAGGACGTAAACCTTTTCTACACAACATAAAAAACCACATCACAACTATCTTCATTAGTTTGCTTTCAAAAGCAAAGTTTCAGCAAGTTAAGAGATTTTGTCCTACACCTCCAGTATACATCAAATGAGTTAAAGTTACATAACTAATACACATACTCATTACAGATCTAATGCTACTATATGGATATCAGTACTGAATGGTAGATTTTGTAGTTTTAACCTATATTATTTACACCAAAAGTGGTGTAAATAATACAGTAAAATCTAAGCCGGAACCTGTACAAGCTAGAAACTGAAAATTTCTCCGGCCTGTGAAGTTAAATGGCATTTTACATAGCATAAAATGGAATCTGTCGAACACGGAAACAGAATGGTTTTTCATGTCCTACTGGGTGAAAGTCCTTTATAAAGCAGAATTTATGTGAATTGGCAGAATGAGATATTCTTAATGAAAAGAATGTTATTTTGTGTAGGCTGCTGCACAGTGGAGAGAGTTTCAGCTGTCAGTTATAATTCGACCTTGGGGTCACTTGTCTCATGGTGTAGGCCATACAGGGATTCTGTCTCCTGACTATCTGAGCATGGGAAAGTGTACGGACATGGCTTCTATTCACTCATCTCCCTGCCCATGTTGAAAATCATAACCCCTTGGCCTGCATACACTGCACAAGGCCATGCAAGGGTATCAGAACGCCATAGTACACTGGCCTGTGACGCATTTTTCGTTGAAAGTCGGCAAGCAGTCCAATTGCAGCCGCTAGGCCATGATGTAGTGTGAATTTTTTTGTGTTTCTGAACCAGTTTATCAATGATTAGAAAAACAAATACTAACTTTAGATGAAAAAGTCAAACTTATAGAAGCGAGAGAAACAAAAGCTGTCAATGAAGAAAATATAATATATTGATTTATTGGTTATTTTTCATTCACCAATTTTACCATACATACGTTATATGTTAATATTTATTGTAATGAAGTGATGTAATTTACTAGTTTCAGGACAGAAATATCAATATCACAAGTGTCATAACATAGATAACTCTGCATAAGTTGTTGGTGAAAACTAAAAGTTACAAATTATACATTGTAAAAATAACATTGAACATTCCCTCTCTTGCTACATTGTCACCTTACTTTAAATATACCTTAGTAGTCAAGAGATGCCTTATGGATTGTATTTATTCCCCTGACTCTGACACATTTACAATTATTTATTAGTCCCTTACTTTTGATAATCTCTTTAAAAATAATTGTTTTTGAATATAAAACTTGCAATCCATTAATAACAGGCCATAATTTAATACAGGGTGCATGCACAATAGTTTTTTTTAGATCCTTCATTTACTAGAATTTAAACCACAAATTAATTCTTACAGCTCACTAATTCTTTTCCATTTTTACTTCACATTGTTAAAGACATGGGCGCAACTGGAAACAATATGTTTGAGGGAGGGAGAGGGGGAAAGAAGAATTAATTTAATCCGATACATATGAAATTCAATAAGAATTTGAAGTTTGTATGATTATTCTCAATTATTATTATTATTATTGTATATTGTGTAAGAACGCTTGCTTCTCCCTAGAATAAATTTTTCTGAAGCACGACACTTAGTGGTCAATCTTTGGCATTATAATAATACTTCATTCATCAAAAAGAAATTATCTTTAATGATGTGACAAATACTGAATCCCCTGTGCAAACCATAACTTATGCCAAATTGTTGACACCCAATGGGTTGACTGGAAGTGGTCATTGAAATTTTATTTCCCTGTACTCACCCTGCTGTGTTAGGTATTGCATTCCCAAGAAATGTTTAAAGATGGTCTCAGAGAATGAAAATCTTTCAGATTAGTATTCATTAAATACGTTTTATACATCTCCACTTGTTTGTAATTATTCTAGTAATACAAATATTTGAAATGCAACCATGTATATTAATAGTATATATCTAAACATTTTTCTTAATATTTTCAAAATTTAATTAAACTGAAAACATTGGTGGAAGGGGGCACTAAGTTATGGTTGAAGATTATGTGTTCATTTTAAATTTGCACATGCAACAACTGTCTTTTCTTTTTTTTCTTCCACGGTGTGTTTTAAATGTTGAGTATTAAATAATTTTTATATTTTATAAGGTGTCACTTCGTAGTATTGAATTATCACGTAGATTTATTATGAGCATCATGGGTGCATCTATGAAAAGTATGAAGAATGACATCAAAATATGTTTAAAACAATAATTTGACTTTGAGGAAATAAAAAATAAAATTAACCTCTGTATATGTTCCTAAATGTTGCATTTAAAAAACACAGTTGCATGCTATATTAACTTGGTCAGAATAGTTTCTAAGCAGGCATGAAGCAACTTGCTGTGTATGCAGATGAAGAACATAAGTGCTACTTTACAATTAATTTGCACATACTCTAGTGATCTAAAACTAAGTAACGAAGGAATTACTGTTCTCTATAGTTGTCTGGAAAAGAAGCTTCCAAAACAAACTAAAAAATTATTAAGAGTAGTATAATTCAAAAAAAACTTTATATGAAAACGAGTAACTTCACCTTTAAAAATTGGTGTATCTAATAAGTTTTTTTGCTTCAAATTAGTTCAGCCTTTATTAAGAATATTTTCAGCAATCCCTCAAGCAAGATGTTCAAAAGCCTCCTAATATAGATTGTAGTTACATGGCTTATCTGGAAAAAATGCAGTATTTGCATGTCCTACTGGGGGAAACTCCTTTATAAAGCAGAATTTATGTGAATTGGCAGAGATGTGAGATATTCTTAATGAAAAGAATGCATTTGCCACTCTATATTAAATTAGGATAAATCTGAATTAAAGAAGGAAACTTTCTTAACCAGAAATTGCATACATTGCCATCTGATTTTGAAAACTTGAATTTTTATATCCAGATACTATTATTTATGAAGTATGCCGTTTGCTTCTGAATGAAATGTAATCCACTCCATTTAAAACCGGTAAAAATAAAAATGGGTCCAAAATGTATTATGTAGGAGATGAAGACTAAAATGCACACATAATTATATGAGATGTAGTGGGTCTGTACAACATGGAAAAAAGATGCTGGAGTTTCTCTGGAAAACGATAACATGTTTTGCCTGACTGTGATCACTGTCCTTGGAATAATGACCCTTGGATAATTTCTAAATTATGATTAGAATTAATGGTCAAATACCTATTTAAATTTTGTACATTATTTTCAAGAGAGGAATTGACTATTGACATTGTGATGATCCAGGGTGCAGTTATTACAAACAGAATAAATTGGAATTGAAGATTAAAAGGAACTATCCTTTTGCTGGTGGTCTTGTATCACATGCGTGGATCCACGGGGAAGGAAATGAGGGAAATTTCCTCCAAAAACGTTTCTGTAACTATTAATTTTAACTTGTCACTAAACTTTCAAGCGAAAATATTTTCGTCTAAACATTGAAACTAATGAAATTGTATCGCAACTTGAGCTGAGTTTGGCCTGCGTCATTCTACATAATCTATAATATCACATTCAACCAAAAAAATTCCCCTCCGAAATTCGTCTCTGGATCCGCCCCTGTGTATCCCAATATTCTTTTAGTTTTGCCACACTTGTAACGAGAGAAAGTAACCCTGAGTTTGCAGTTCATCAACTCTGTGATTTTTTTAAAACAATTATCTTTTCAGAAGAGAGAGGATGTATTGAACGCACGTTTCACATACCCGTATAAATTTCCACCTTTTTTTCTTTCCTTAAAATAGCTTTCACATTGTTAATGTAACACCTTCAAGCGAGCATTTTAATTTATACCCAGTGAAAAGTGATTTAGCAAGGCAAAATCAGATTGATCGGAAATCGGCACGGTTCCCTTTGGTACCTTGACATCGTTCTATCGCGCGGAACAGAAAACAAACTGAACGCATCTTGAGGGGATTTATGAGAGTATGTGTGGAGAATATAAAGAACATACGCCCGCCAAATGGTTTTTAAGATGAGTGTTCGCACAAAATGCGTTGACAATTTGCATTGGACAGGTTCAAGAATGTTTTATGTTAACGTAGAGGCCCGCCCTAAACTTGGACACGCGTAGCGAAGCGTCCCAATTCCACGAGCGAGAACGAATCGGTTCCGATTCCTTACTAACGAACGAAATATTCCCTGGGAAAAGAATCGTGACACCATCAACTTCTGATTTACCCCAAATCGCATGATTAGACAGCAGTGACAAGACGAGGATATTTTGAAGAGAGAATTAATACCTAAACAAAAAATTAAGTTGAATGCTGTTTGTGATATTCGTTCACGTCCGACTATACGAATGGAGGACAAAACTCGTGGGGCAAACAGGAGGCAAGGAAATGGAGACTTTCCTGGAAAACATTAAGAAACATTCACGCCAAATTATTTTTACGGTGTATTCGCATAAATAGCTTTGGACAGACTCAAAGATGCTTAATGTTAACCACGAAGTATAGAAGGAGGAGACTCAACATCGGTGTAGAAGGCAGAGTGAGAGTATGAACGAAAAACGTCCGCAGCCATACTGTGAATAATACTTCTGTAAACTTGACAGGTGTAGGGAAGAGCGATGTTGCCACTTACTCGGGTGGCAGACACATGGTCGTTCTTGCTTCAGATCAGCTGTTGAAGCATACACGTCCGACTTATTGTTTTTGTATTATCCCCCATTTTCCGCATCCCAATTTCCATGCCTCTTTATTCCATAGATCGCTTTCCTCCATTTCTCTTTTTTCCACTGCTTCAGTTATTGCCATTATCCATTTTCTTCTCTGTCTTCCCCAGTATCTTCGATCCAGTAAGAGACCTAGTAAAAGAAGTATGGGGGCAATGGAAGAAAAAGGAATATCAACAACATTCATAGATGCAGTCAAACAACTTTATAAAGATAACAAAAGTCAAGTAAAAGTAGGAAAATGTCTATCAGACAACTTCCTAGTAAATAAAGGTTTACGGGAAGGCTGCTGTATATGTCCAACCCTCTTTAAATTATACATTGATGAAGCCCTAAAAGAATAGAAAAGAAAGTGCAGAAGCATGGGTGTGAAAATAGGTGATGAAACATTGTTTAGTCTACTATTTGCAGACGACCAGGTGATAATGGCTGAAGATGAAGATGATGTAACTTATATGTTCAGAAAATTAGTACAAAAGTATGGAAAATGGGGAATGGAATTAAATTTACAAAAAACTGAATATGTGGTGGTGGGGGGAGGTA